AGACAGACCACAAGCCTTTAATATGATGCCAACACTTGTTTCCCTGTCCTCTCATTGAGTCTCAGAGTATCACAGACTCACATTGCAATGCAATCGGACAACTCCACAAAGTAGGGAAACAAGGGAGAAGAGTCACTGCCCTTCAATCTATATTTCCTGGAGTAAGGGGATACTAAAAGCCCTTCCATTATACTTTATCTCAGTTCCCTGCTGCAATGGAGCAGGTTAAAGCACCCATTGTGCTCTCAGGGGCAGTGCTTTGAGCTTCTTCCCAGAGCCTTGACCCTGGCACACAGATTTAGGGAGCTTTAAAGAAGTGCAAACATGGGACTGCAGAGTCAGTTCTGTATCAACAGCAGGAAACACAGAGAGTTCCTGCTAAAGCCCCTTCTTGGCTGCAGGCCATATCACTGGCCAGCCCATATGGGAATGTCCGGTTACATGACTTGCTTATAGATGGGTCAGCTGAAATCCTACATGACAAAATTTCACCCTCCTTCCCTCCTTTGCCCCTCTGTTGCTTGTCAGGAATGCCATTTCATCAATAGGATTAATTATTGCAAGTAAATAACCTCGTTGCTTTGGAAATCTCTGGGTTAGCTACCCTGAAAAACAGAGATAAGTGGCCTGAGAAATGAGTAACCCTCTGGGACAGCTTCCTCTTGAGCAATTTTAGTTAGGTGATGTGCTTTTTGGAATGGGCTGCAGATACTCCTGCACCTCAATTAACTCCAATTAAGCCATCTTCTCAGCAGGGTAGTTTAGCCCACATTCATTTCCACATTAACACAGGTTATGGAGCTGCCCATAGTGCTCAGACCATCTTGGGCATTCTAACACATGCACAGTGCCACAGAGATGCTTTCAGCAGTAGTCTTGTTTTTGAGTATCACTGATAGTAGTAAGGAGCCCAGTCTGTGTTTGACAGGTTGAACATGGCACTTAACAGTAGTCATGCATTTTTTTAAACTGTTTGTGTATCTTTCACTGGGAATACAGCGTCTACTCTCTCATCTGATCTTAGCCTCTGAGGAAAAATAAAATGAGTAAGGGGGCTTAATAAATCATAAAACTTTTCTTTTGTCATTTAAAGCTTGCATGATCCAAAACATAAAGTTTAATACTGAGTGCCACAGTCTGTGTGCTAAGAGGGAGGTTACCTGCACCTTGCCAGTGACTGGGTGCATCCCTTGCAGTGTCATATCCCTGATCCACTGGGCAACACTGCAGCTGGTTCCCACCAGGGTCAGGATGTCAGATGCAGCTAGGCCTGGCACTCATACTCTCCCTATGCTCAGGATATAGAATGACATTTTTTTTAAATAGCACTTCTGTTATTTTAAAAATATATTACACACATAACTAAATAAACAAACAAATAAATCCCTTGACCCAAACAGCCTTTACAGAACCAAAATTCATCCTATCTCACCACTGAACATCATAAAATTAACCTAAGCAAGACTAAGTTCTTAACTAAGGTGTCTGTCAGTTACTTAGTTCCCTCATATCACTTCTTGAACAAATGCCCCCTGTCTAAGACAATAAATAGTTTAGAAATTCAATGGATTACTTTTTTCTTCTTTGCCTTTCCTGACTCATGAGCCTGTTCATGTTCATCATTGCCTCTTAACAAGCCTTAAATGTTGGTGAAGCAAGATTTTGTTCCTTTTTAGGAAAAAGGCATATCTTGCCATTCATTAAAAACCACAGTAACTGTAAAACACTGTAAGTTTGTACAAGTAACTCCACACCATGATATCTGAAAATGTCCAGAATCTTGACTTAAAGCCATCACACAATACTAGTCAGTATCCTCACTGTTTTCATTTAGTAGGACAGAGATAGTTACACTGTTAATACAAGTAACACAAAAGCATTTGCAAACAAAGGAATCTCACCTGAAATTAGCTGTACTATTTCTGTGGAAACAGAAATAATCTGTGCATTACATATGAGTCTTACCAATTAGATGTCCACTTAAGATACTTGTTTGTGGCAGTAAAAGTACAAGTGCACACACTGTATGTTCCCTCCTCAAGGGCAAAACAGAACTTGCATTGAATGCAACCTAGCTGAGCTTCATTTGTGCATCCAGTCCTCGGAAGTAGAAGACATGAGTCCTCATGCTCCTACATTAATTAAGCCACTGTCTTTCAACCTCTTGGATCTGTTAATCTCTTGAATTTTTATGTAATAGAGAAAATTATAGTTCCTGTGACCTGGAGCAATTCACATATTGAACTTTAGATATAGTATATGTGAGTCTGCTTGACTTTGACAAGTTCTTTGGGATTTAGAAGTCCTCTCCATTGAACTTTTGAGGCTGAAAAATGCCAATTTAGCAAATTCTTTATCCATTTGTTGGTTCACACTGCCTTTCTTTCTAGTCCTTTCCAGTTCCATTAAATTGATAGTTCTGAACTTGATTAGGAATGGTCCGAATTATTTAGTAGTTTTGGTTTTTTTTATTGTGCTTTGCTTTGCTTATCTAACTGAAAGAGATATTATTTTGTTAGAGTCAAGAAGAAAGTATTGAAAAATTGAAGCTTAAATGCATAAAAATGCATCAAAATGAAATTTTCCAGCTCTGAAGCAGCCTCTGTAGTTCTTCTGTTTTGTTTCAGAAAACATTCCCAAAGCTTTAAAAGACTTCTAAAGATCTCCTACAAGGTATGAAACATTAATCTTCAATATTAAAGCTGCTACAACTGAACTTCTAGTCTTCTAACAACTTTTGAGTGTTCTGTTTTGGAAGAAAGAACAATCTCGTGGCAAAGGCACTAGAAGAAGAAGAAAAAGCTCCTGAGTCAGTTACCAGTATCATGATGAACTTTTTTGTGTGATCTTTGTCAACCCAGACTGACTTCTCTCTGTTTATCAGAACAAATATTAAAAATGGGAATAGCAATATTTCTGAGTGATGTTGTAGGAGAAGGCATAATGAGTACAAGATGCCTGTACTGAAGCCATGAACTGAAAACACCCCACGTATTTACCAAGGACTATCTAAGTCCCAGTAGGTATAATATAGCTAAAGGCTTCAAAAGAAACTTTGTGTGACAGATTATTTGAAATAGTTTCCCCTAGGACAGAGCTCATGCAGACTAGTCTGCTTGGGGGAACAGTGGAAAAGATAATAATGCATATAATGGGTATGGAAGAAAAAAAAAGTGACATGCAATATACATCCAGAAATCAGCGAAAGAAGTCATCTAAAGCATATTGGAGATGGCCTTTCTGTTGCCATCATTGAAGAATAGGGTGTGGTACAAGCCATACAAACCTTCCCGGGGTCCTTGTTTCCAGGACATTGCTGAATTGTGCAAAATGACCCATTTCCTGCCCTTGGGACTGGACCTAGAGGGCCAGGGACAGCACTGCTAAACCTGCTTTTGCTGCCACCCCTCCAGCAGGGACAGTGCATCTCTGCCTACACCACGGCTGCTCTCTGGTTTAACTTCAGCTCTCTGCAGGTCAGGATTCTATCTAGAGGACACAACCAGCTCAGGAAGACTGAATGAACCACCCTTTGGAGATTCCAAAGGGAATAGCTGCATGATGCAGTCCAAAGCCTTATTGATATACTTACTCCCCCAAACATCTGTAAAAGTATCTGCGAAAGGACATCTCTGCAAAGAGTATGGAGCTGTCCCAAGTTTCCCACAGGAAAGTCAAACATCCTTCTAGGTTTCATCACTAGATTTTCATAAATTTTTCAAAACTCCCCTTCAAAAATATGATGGAATTTTCATTTGGTCTGTAAGTTTTCTATTCAAACTTGAAATTATTTTGTATAGAAAATGCATTCCACTTTTGTTACATGAACTGTCTAACCATAAGTTGGAAAATACATGAATATTTACTGTATTTCCTGGTTTTATTTTAAATATGTACACTCAGGACATATAAAAATTAAAATAATGCATGCATACTATCTATTTCCATTTACATATATAACCAGATGCTGTACATAGTTTTACCTGCCCTAGTAACCAAACACACACACATGAACTACCATTTACTCTGTTTTGAAGAATGTTCAGCATGATGGGACAGTCATCTTGAACAGTATTCCTAGACACTAACACAGTAATAAGATGTGGGTGGCTGGAGCTGGGAGGAGTAAAGAAGTTCACTGCTTATTTGCTGCAGTTAAGTGAGCTCTTCTAATTTAACTTCTTTCAGAAAAAAAAATTCTATTGTGTTCACATTTCAATAAACCACAAATACTAAGATTAAATATAGCCTAAAGAATAATAACTTTCGCTTAATGGTCAAACTGTCAAAGTCTGCCTAAATAAAGGAATCAGTTTTAAAGTCTCTGCAAACACTAGGTTTAAATTATTTTCAAAACCTATAAAGAGACAACAGAAAACATAAACAGCTTGAATTGTTTAAAACTTGTGTTCCCTCTAATTAAATAAGAAACATCTGTCTTGGGATTTTGGAAGTGGATATAATCTATGCACATTGTGCCTAAATCGGTTTGCATCTAGCTTCAGTATTCTGAAACAAAATTCTTGCTTTCTGAATAGAATTAAATAAGCATGCCACGCGAGGCACTTCATCCATCTGAACAGCCAGAAATCCCCTCGTTGAAAATAACAGCAAACACTAGAAATCGGGTTATTTCCATGGTTGAGAGAAGTGGGAGACAAGGCTTTTGAGGCTTTGCCTTCTGAACATGCAAACGTATTTTCAAAAACAGGAATCTGCCACGAATACCTTTCAGCAGAGAAGAAGAATAAAAAAAAAGGCAGCTATTTAAATGAACTACTGATCCTGGAGGTCACAATCCTGTTATTTCTCCGGGGACCATTAAACCCTTCCCTGCAAGAGCACACGCATTCAGACTCCCAGGAGCGGGATTTCCACCCCAGTGCAGATCCTGGGATGGAAGCGGCCCAAGCAGAGGAATCGCGGAGGAGCCGAGGGGGACCCGGGCCCGGCGGCGCGACGCGCACGGCGCTGCTCCCGCGGGAGAGCCGCGCACTTACTGGTGTTGTCGAAGGGGATCTGCCTGCACCGGGCTGCGGGCCAGGAGCAGTAATACACCGCTCCTCCTTCCACGATGTCTGGCTGCGTGGTGTTGGCTTTGGGAGCTCCCACCAGGACACTGACCCTGCGGAACACACCGGGAGGTCACCGGGGCGACCGGGACGGGCGGGCGATGGGCGCTGTCACCCCGCGGGCTCGCCCACCGCCTTCCCAAAGCGATCCCCGGGTCCGGGGCGGCCCGGCCCCGTCACCCCCGGCGGCGGCACTCACGTGCTGGGGTTGGGGATGTAGAAGTCCACGGAGTACCCGAAGTAGCTGCCTGGGGGCCCGCTGTACACGGTCAGCTTCTCCTCGTCCAGGTTGAAAGCCACCACCGCCGGCGCCCAGAGCAGCGCTGACAGGAGGAGCAGCGGGTGCTGCCAGCGGCGGGGCCGCCCGCGGCTGAGGGGCAGCATCCTCGCCGCCTCCGCGGCCGGCTCCGGCTGGCGCAGCGGAGCGCAGTTATGCGGCGGCCGTGCGGTGAGGAGCGGAGAGGTGCGGTGCGGTGAGGAGCGGAGAGGTGCGGTGAGGAGCGGTGCGGTGAGGAGAGGTGCGGTGAGGAGAGGTGCGGTGCGGTGAGGAGCGGTCCGGCTGCCGCCGTGCGCGGGCGGGGGCGGCGCGGGAGGCTCGGCCCCGCTCGCCCCGCGGGGGAGGCGCGCTCGGGCGCCCCCTGGCGGCGCGCGGCCGTGGCCGGGGCAGGGCCGCGGTGCCGGCGGAGCCGCGGTCCCGGGCCGCGCCTGCGGAAGGCGAGCGGCGGGAGCTCCGCCGGTGAATCCGCGACAAACGCCCCGTGACTGCCCAGCAGCTACCGGTGGCTGCCGTGGGGCGGTCGTGTTCACGGCGGGAGATGCCGGAGTGTGGGCTGGTGGTTTCGAGTTGAATTTCTCTCGACTTCCATAATTTTCAAGGGTTTGAATGAAGAGCTTGGTACTTGAAAATCTCTTTTAGGAAACTGCAGTGCATTGAAAAAATGTAAACCTTCCTCAGACTGTTATTTGTTTGCTCGGCATGGCCATTATTAAATAGAAACCAAAGAACCCCAGCAACGATAAAACCCCTTGTAACCACGGGAAAGATGCAGACCCGGGCACAGAGTCCAGAACACGTAAGAAGATGCGATTCCTCCGTTCTCTCGAAGTTTCCCTGTCCGTGCCCGGCTACGCGGAGCTTTAATGAGCTGGAGGGGGCACCTCGCACTGGCGCAGAGCACAGCTCTGTGCCTTTAGCACAGCTCCATGCAGGCGCAGGTGTCGTGCCGCTTTTCCCACAGAAACAACCAGCTGAACGTGGCACATAAATGGAACTGTGCTTTTAGAAAGCTCCTCTGGTAATTTCTTCATAAAGTAATTAAAAAGGATGGGCATATATAATTCCTGTCTTGAGCTGTTCTGCCCCTGCAAGCTCCACAACAGAGTTTTAACTGGTTTTGTTAAGAATGTGTAGAAAAACCTGGCTGCCTGAAATGCTCCCTTCCCCTACGAAGCTAAGTGTGGCATCACATTCACATCTTCAGGGGACATTATTAATATTTTTTTTCTGACCAAAGGTAGAAAGAAAAGGAGAAACATTTTATTTTCCATGTGATCAGCTCTGTAATAACAAGGAAAAATAATTGTTTTCCAGCATTTATAATGCAGGTATGTCCAAACAGAGTCAGAGAAGGATCAAAAGAATAGAGAACTCGTTTATAAACATGCTACATTAGATCTACCTATGAAAGCATTTGAGAGCAGTTTGTTTTGTTGTGAGGTTCTGGTTACTTTACTTTTGTGTTTGTTTTATTTTAAGTGCTTTATGGCAAGATTATTCAGATAAGACTGACATTCCTTTACACAAAAATAGAACAGTGTGTTTATTTCCAGCATTAACTGTGTGACCCTTAGTTGTCCCCACAGGCTTGTAATATCCCTTAACTCTGCTTTCTTCATATTTATGCAAAATTTATTCGCTAAATAGTGAAACACCACTGTTGACACTATTGTATTATTTTACATTGTACAATATCTCTTACAGATCTAAGCACCAGTAATAAATTCAGAAGTATTTCTGAATGACTTTAGGATTAGTCATGCAATTTGAAGGCAACTGAATCCATTTAGAACTTGTGCTGCCTTATGCTAAATAATGATGATGATGATGATGATGATGATGATGATGATGATGATGATAATGCTCCTTTTTAGCACAGCAATCAGTTCTGAGGCTGAGTGTCACAAATGTAGTTTCTGGGGCTCTAAGAGCTGCTTAGACTGCAGGCACTCAAAAGTGAGAAGGCAGCACATTCTGGTCCTGTAGCCACTTTTACTGATCCACTCAAAACAGTTAAAATTCAGTAATTAGCACAGTTGGAGATAGGTGAGTGTTCACACAAATGAGGCTGAAGAGACATAAGCAAGAACACAGGCAGTTCTCATGTGTTCCCTTTGTACCTGCTTTTTGGTTAGAAAACACATGCCACCTAACCTGGTTGTTTTGAGTTAATTTTAAAAAGTAAAAAAGTGTTTCAAATGGCTATCAATGCTAAAACCTGTAGCAAGGCAGGACAGAATGAAAAGTAGGAACTCTCAAGATCCTTTTATCCCCAAAGTGTTAACCTGTAGCAGTCCCCCCCTCCCCCTCCCCTTTTCCTTTTTTTTTTTTTTTTTTTTTTTTTCTCTCTATAGAGACACATGCATACAGGATATTCCAAATAAATTCAAAGAGATAAACAAAAATAACATTATTTATGTTTCTACGAATTTTCAGTGTTTCCCTAAACAAGCTGGACCTGTTCTGATCACTAGAAGCTCATGTCACATCTTGCTTTCCTTGGACTTTCGAAATGTTTGAAGTGCACACTCATCTGCACCACATAAGAGGTAAGCAGCTCCCCCAGTTGTTGGTAGACTGAAGCTTGCACTTTAGCATACCTGTGGTCTGATATATTAACTCCTTTGAATATCTAACTAAAAAGTCTTAATAGGCTCTAGAACCACACCTAGAGCCAGTACAGGGAGCTTTTATAAGAACATTTAGCCAAGAGTCCAAAAATCATTATCTACCTTACAGAATAAATGGAAGGTCAGATGTGGGATTAAGTAATTTATGGAGAAAAAAAAAAAAATTCATGGTGTGAAATTCTAGAGCTAATATTATGTGCAGTCAGTGATGTTAGAATGCCATTATGGTGTCCCCAATCTTAAAAACAGATGAGTCTAATCTTCTATGGAAAGTTTTGCTGAGGTGAAACTTAAATATTAGTATTTTGTAGAAGGCTCTATTATCAGAGCTTTAATGCTCTTTATGCTATTATTTAGTAATGAACATGCTAGCAGAAGAACAAATTTCGAAGAATTGTACGGGCTTTTAGCATAAATCTTATCAAAATTAGTGATAATTTTACTGTTAAATCTTTTCAAAAAATGGTAGCACATAAGCTGAAATGTCCAATTCCCACAGGAAATCTTATCTTTCCTTTCAATTGTTTCCTAGTTCTGTTTCTGTAGGCCAGAAGCCTTCTCCTGAACTGTAGTTGGAGCAACTACATAGACAGTATTTTGTATTTATTATTGTGCTGCAAGAGGATAAAATGAGGATGTGACCATGCATTACAAAGAGAGTGAATTTCTGGGATTTTAATCCCACAAATGACATGCTGACAAAAGATGTTCAGCATTCCTCTTTGAACCTTACCTTTGTGAACATTGTCCAAGTTAAAAATCTTAGTGGAATTAATTCCTACATGAAAAGCATTAAGGCCAAGTTTAGATTCAGCAGATTAAATCATCTATCAATCAAAGCATATAGTCTACAGAAAAATCAGTTTATTTTCAAGAGATCCCATGGAAATACTGATTTTTCATTAGTTATAGGTATTAACCACACCAAATCAACATAAAAGGGAGACTAATGAGCCAATCTACCATGCTGGTGAAAGCAGAGACTTTGTGTGTGAGAGCCCAAAGGATGGGATGCTGCAGAGGAAGCTGTGGATGCAGTGTTCCATCCCATGGCACCTCTGGCTATCACCAGCAGCAGAGCTGCAGTACAGGGCTGGCACAGCTGCAGGAAGCTGAAGGTGCTCTCCAGAACATGCTGGATGTTGTGTGCTGAGCAGCCTTGCTTGCAAGCAGGAGCATCCAGAGCAGGTGTCCACAGCCTGACTGTAGACACTCATCTAGTCAGACAGCAAATCAGTGCCTTGCCCTAAGAGAGGTTCTTGTTTCTGCTTGGGAACTGATGTGGGGACACTGCCATTCCTCTCCCACAATGGATTTTGACTCCCACACTTGCCTGCTCCATCAAGGCCCATCTTGACCTTCTTTAACCTAAACTTATCCACACAAGGACTGAAAAGGTAAGAGAAAGCATACAGATGAACCAGAGAAGCATAAACTGTAATTGTCTGAAGGAACAGAACTTCAACAAAAGCATCCAAAAACCAAAATGCCCAGCATGTACGTAAGTGATTCACTGTTTTAAAGGGCCCTTTGCATGGATTCTAACAAGGATATTTACATTTGGGTTTGTACTGGCTGCTTACCTTTAACAGTTCAGACTTCAACAAAGCAAATACGTATTTGTTAGCCGTCAGCCTTCAAATATAACTCATTTGGGCTAATACAAAGCACACTAGAAGTAGTCCTTCCATTATTTACTTAGATAACTTATTTGGAGCAGACTGTGAACCTCAGTGTACTTCGAAGTGGAAATAATTTCTTTTACCATTTACCCAGCAGTTGACCCCTTTTTGACCCACCTCTTTTATACGAAAGTGAATTTAGAGCAAAAGGACACCATCATGTATCTTCTATCTCAAAGGGTTTTGAGACATGAGAAGGAAAGGCCAGTTTTCCACATCAACTCTTCAACATCCTGCTAACTGCACCATGTTGTCAGCTAGGATAGTAGTTGTCTCCCAGAAGATAGTGACCTTTCCTTGGCAATTAAAATTGAACAACTCTGCAATATGTAAAAACCCCTAGAGTATGAATCAAAATGTCATTTAATTGCATATCTAGCTCACATACTTTCTTACAGTTAGCATTATCAATTTGCTCTGGTTACTTACAGCATGCATTTAATCCCATAGAGTGCTCTGATTTTATTGACTAGGCCTCAATTTGCAAACTGCAATATATACGTACACACATAGGCAGCACTTGGAGCAGAACAACCTGTAAATAGGTTTCTAGACATTTTTCTGTGAAAGCAAATCAAGCAAACATTAATGTCCTGCATGTTTTAAGTCTGCCGTCTAAATAACCACATTCTTCTAGGGGACGAAAAGTGAATTTCCATACAGGCAGAATCTCTCCCATTATGCTCATCACGGAAGGAAGGGGAGAAGGGTTCACTTGGCTGAGGCTCTCAGATGAGCTGCCTAAATGCCACAAACCACTGCTAGCTACCCTCTCTAATCCAAAAATAAGTGAAGTAAATCAGAATCCAGGCCTCTAACAACTAGGCAGTATGAAGGAAAAAGGATACAGGAATGAGGGTTCTTATATCATACCATCATCAGCTAAATGTCTCTAGAGCACAGCAGAAGTTTTAATCCAGACTAATGCTTAAAGACAGATCTCACATCAGCTGGGCTTCTAATTTATTTTTTTTCTGTGAGACAGAACGTCAATTTTATGAGAGTGGGTTAGAAAAAAAGATGCATATTCTAACAGATTCAAACTATGATTCAGTGCAAAGTCTGGTGTGATACTCTAGCAGAAGCCAAAGACAGATACCAGAATTCAAAAGAAAGAGCAAGAAAAACAAATTTCCCCTTTCCAAGGTGTCAGTGGAAGTCTAAAGACATTTATCTTAAATGTGTAATACCAGCTAAAACAAATACCTGTCAAGCCTGAATGTTTTTGAAAAGTAAAGTTCTATACTTGACAAGCAGATTCTCTTAATTTACCTATATTTTTCAGCAGTAATACCACTGTCTTTAATGTCAAGCTCACAGTGCAAGACAGAATACTTGTGTTCAAAGTAAAGCGAGTCCTAGGACAAATTAAAGAATCTTTTCAAATCATTGTTATCTGCAAAGGATTTTTTTTTTCAGAAGAAGAAATCTAACAAAAATACTCTCTTAATACTAAGATACTCTGCTGTCAGTCTGCAATAAGAAATGATCATGGTAATTCCAGAAGTTATGAAATTAGCTTTTGGTGTGGGCTTTTACTCCGCCAGGATGCATTCACCTTGAAAGTCGACATTTCTAAACCTGTGGTTCCTTTTCATCATCTCAGAGAAGCAGCAACCAAGTCCAAGTAAACCCAACTTCAAATAATATATGATTCAAGGAAAAGATTTTATTTTAGGGCTAAGAAGTTGATAATAAATAAAGGAATATAATAATGTAATAACAGATGTTCTCATGCACTTAACACATACAGTAATGCTGGCTTACACTGCTGTTTGGACAAATTAAGAAGAGGTATTTGGCAATATTGTAAGTTTTGAATAGTTTAAAGATTATAGAGCAAGAAATTCTGCTGTTTTTACATTTCTTTTATACAAATTCAAATAAATATTAATATATCTATTTTTCCTCAGATTTTCTGTTCACTTTTAACATGCCCAATAACTAAGCCACAGTAATATACAACTGCCAAGAAAGAGTATTTAAGAATTATACTTATTCCTAAAAATGTATCTTATTTATGTCACATTGTGCAAGCTCTTTAGGTAAAATTCATTTTAGGAAAAACTGCAGAAAATTTAAATTCATTAAAACATATCCAGTGCAAAGGCCAGTCTAGTCCACACATTATGGTACTGTAATGTAAGCTAGTATAATTTAAATAATAAAACATGCCTATATGATTCTGAGAAAGCTGAATATGTTTCATGTTTTAAAGATCTGACATCTAATATGCAGATTCTGCAATATCAGAATTTTTCAAATCTTCATGAGATGGCAAAATAATGGTAAGACTTTATAAGTAGGCTTTTTTTTAGGATAACTCACATTAACAGTACTACAGTGGCCAAAAAAGACAAACTATTATAATAGAAATCAATCTGATTAAAAAATTAAATATTCCAATTAACACTGAAAAAGTGTTTGTAATCATTATTTACAATTCCTCAATGATACCAGTGTATAACTCCACACAAAGTGTACCACTCCCCAGGCAATCTCCAACCCGCATGCCCGCCGGAGGAGCCGAGGGCTGGACGCTGTTCATGGCCAAGGCGTCAGTTCAGGGAAGGAGAGCGGTCTGTGCTCCAGAGCAGTTCTATGTACGGCCACTTGGTCTGCAGGCAGCGCTTCACCGGGGTGTCGTCGGTCTGCAGCATCGGCTCTTCAAAGCCCATGACAACTGCTGTGCCTTCCACATACATTACCTGTCAAAGTAAACCCAACTCTGTCAGCCTGTCCATGAACTGGCAGATGAAATGATTATTTTCACCAGGTCAGGAGAGGATTTGTTATGATACACATCAAATCTGTGAAGTTTTACATACTCCCTTTTTTAATGAAATGGAAGTATGAAATTGAAAAACCCTCATCCTTGAATGCTTCTGCTTACATTTTGGGATATGGAACTGCTGGAGATTTCACAGGCATAATTTTAAGGACATAACTACAAGCTATTCAAAAGACTGAATAGGTATATTTTCTGAAAGAAGTCTTACTTAAGTCATTCTTGCTCCTTATGTCTCTTAATGCCTTACAATCTTTTACTCTGAATTCTCTTTCAGGAACTTAGAAGCAGTCATATTGTGTCTAGTATACCCCTTTTTTCAAGAGTTCTGAAAATTAAACAGGTCGTCTTTGTTTCCTCAGTGAATGGCTCAAAAAAATACTGATTTTTTGATGCAAGCATGAACTACTAAAAAAACTCAAAAAATTTCTAAAGAACAGAATTTAGATGTAGAGTTACTTCTAGAAGTTGCACTTTGTGTGTGTTACATCTCCACTGTGCCTTACAGTTCAAACCCCCTTATGACAGGTATATGTGAGAAGTGCTCTTTTCAAAATGCAGTTTCAGAGATGTGGTCTGGCCAAGCAATCCAGTACAGTAGCTCAAATACAATTAAGAGCAAAGAAGTTTCCAATTCCAAATATATAATTTTGGAAGAAAATTATCAAAATAATAGCTTTGTAAAAGACCTGTTTCGAGTCAGACTATTTTGCCTTTAACTATATTCAGTTTTGCTTCATGACTGTTATTAGGCTTAATTGTAAATCTTACCTTTTCATTATAATTAGATTGCTTCAGTCCATTGTAATGGTAAACAGTGAATGACTCTGAAACCCTGGAGTCCTAATAGAAAGAAACCAGTTAATTTCATGTGGCATCCATTGTGCCTTGCTTCTCTTGTCTTTACAACTAGACAGATGCATTCAACCAGCAAGACTTGAGAGAACTGTTAAAAGGTGCCATTTCTTTCACTTTACACTTTCTTTCACTTTGCCACTTTCTTTCAGGTGACAAAATCTTCATTTAACCTTTCTTATCAGAAATAAAAAAACTAGATGTCAGTAAATTAATGAGGAATGCCCCCAAGAGCAAGTAATGATTTTCTGTGTTCTCCTGGACAATCTGAAGTACAACTTCAGCACTGAGTATGGAGCAGGCATCCTAATATTTACTGTGAGAAACCTTATGCAGTAGTCATATGCATGTTTATTTATGATGGTTTGGATGCCACAAAGTTTTTTACTAAGGACCAGATCCAATCTCTGGCCCTCCATCTGAGAGCTAAAAAGCTCCCATGCCTGTCTAAGTAAACTGATTTTGAAGACACCGGTTCTGCCGAGGTCCAACAGCAAAGCTACTGGCTCTTGGTGATCTTTACCATTCCAGGTGTTTAAATGCTGTAGTCCTAAGAGGACTGAAAGCTTTGGATTCACTGAACCAGGAAATACAAATCAGGTGTAGTATCAGCTCTCTCATGCCTACTGGACCAGGCTCCAAACAAAAGCTTATCCTTTTTCTGAGCACATGGAAGTAAAGGCTGGAATGAGAATAAATCTTCTCAAGTTACAGTACATCCATCAGATTACAAAAACCCTAATTCATTTTTTTACTCTTGAATGTTTCACAAATTCTATGGGTCCTTCACAGCCATCCAGGCTATTCAGTGGAGGGAGGGTGGTGATAAGGAAATAAGTGGTAACTCTGCTTACAGAAGTTGCTTCCCAGAGATAAATAAAATTAAGCCTTCCTGGGGAAGGAAAGAGGATACATTCATTTCCCTGAGGAAATTATGTTCACCCAGAAGAGAAAAAAATTGTATTCCCCAGTTCCCGTGCCATGGAAGATAAGAATTTTGTGCAGTTATTGTTTAAAAAATCAAACAAACGTGACTGCCCTAAGTAGTAAGGAGTCAGGCTGAATAGCTTTGAATAATTTTTCTAAGCCAATAGCTTTCAGAAGGAAAGCTGAGATACCTTCCTGCTTTTGAAGTGGAGCTGAGTACTTTTTAGGAGAATAAGAATAGGGGTTTGAATATTCTCAGCAAAGGAATCTAACCTGGATCTCCTGAGCCCTAGCTAGATGTTCAAATATTAGCATCAGCAATTCCAGCCATCACTGGTATCTGCTATTTCCTCACAGTATTTGAAAGAAAGACTTTCAAAGATACTCATCTTCATTTCTGCAGAATTTCACTTTCAGAAAGAATTCTTAGCAAGGTGTCAGAATGGGTAAGAGCTACTGCTACCTGATCCACAGAGTACAGACAGATTGAAAAAAATGGATACTGGCAGGTTCCAGTCCGAAACATGCTGATTGCTCAAATAGCACCCATAAAGCAGTAACAGTTCTTATGTTTTTTACTGGAGCTGGTGAAGGTTTAGCAGGACACGAAAAACTGAGTGCTGGGGAATCACATGTAGGAGGGAATTAGCACTTGACAGACAGGCATTGACTCAGGGGCGCCAACTTTAACAGGAGGCAGAGTTCCTCCAGCAACGTGACCAAGGCAGGGTTCTGCCCATGATTGCACTGTGGTTTGTTCTCCAGCTCCCCTTCTTCAGTCAATGATACCCTTATGACAGGCATGAGAGGCAGCAGTCCCACGCAATGGCTCTTTTCTCCTCTACCTCCCTATGGCCTATGGTACTGGACAGTTTAGGCACAGCCAATTATGGAGGATGTTCTTTGGCATTCTGAACTTCATTCTTCTGGGGCCTAAAATGAAGCAGTGGAGTCTTCCAGATTTGCAAATTTAATATAATTGTAAGAAATAAATTATTATTATTTATATATAATAATAAATAAATATATAAACAAAGAAATTGTACATATATTTCCACTTCCATATAAACAAATGAAAGGAAGAAGAAACAGTTGGCAAAAATACAATGCAGATGTAATTCTAAAAGGCCAGAGAAAATAAAGACAAACTCCTTCTTCTCTTTCCTCCAGATGATGAAAGCCTCTGAATGATATATTCAGTCCCTACCATCTTTGGCAGTGCAATTCTAGTGTCTTCTGACTGACTAGAATGCTTCATAGTACAGAATGTTATAACCAGTGCTGCACAATCCTAACAAAAAGAATCTTGCTGAAGGCATTTAAACTCATCAGTTTCATATTTCCTTGACTGTAGAAATTAACCCACATAGTTTCAGTGACACATTAAGCTAAAAAGTCTTTAAAAAAGTACTCCTCTCAGCCCTTGTCCTTCTTCCACCAGCCTATTCTTCTACCCTAGGTAAACCTCTTTTTTGTCAATACAAGCATGTGTATGGCCATGGAACAAGCTCCCACACACCTGCAAATAGAGCTCTTATCCAGACCAGCTCCCTGTTCTAGTTTACCACAAATCTGTTTAAAGAGGCTTCTGGTGTCAGAGAGGCAGTGTGACAGGAGGAAAATGTGATCCGAGGCAAAGGGGAAAGAGGACAGCAGTGCTAGGTCAACACCTGCCTCTCTGTAGTAGTGCAGTCTTAAAGAATATACATAACAGACTGAGAGTTTGAAAATAATTTTCCAATGCCCTAACTTCCACATATGTTAAATCAATCATGCATTTTTTGTTAAACTGTCAAAAATTTTACATTATCAAGAAATATATAAAAAAATAGTTTTAAATATGTTTGCAACCTTTTCCTGATTGCAAGCAACCTTTTTAATATTGATAAAACCAGTATGGTTGTTTATTCTCAGAAAAACCAAACTCAGATGAACTTTCTGAGTAGGGAAACAATTCAATGTCACACTCAAAATGATTATATATTTCCTGAAGTTAAATTAAGAACAATGGAGTTTCCTTCCAGTGCAAAGTTGACAAAATCATGGACACGTTATAGAAAACAGAAGTCTACCATTTGTGGTGGAATACAGAAGTTACGTGCTGATCAGCTGAGTTAAATGAATACAATACTTATTAAAATTTACTCTTGTGATGTTAATGGAAGTTTTTAATGAATCTCAAACCCAAACAGAACAGAGAATGCTCTGGAGCAATGAAACTATGTTGATTACCTGCTCAGGGAAAAATTCTTGCAGAAAGGGACCCAGTAGTATGATGCCCAGTCCTTCTGGGTCTAATTTGGTCTTCATGAGGTTTACACTAAGATAAAAACATTGAATATAAAAGTATGAGTAAGACACTTTTATTCTTGCATGACTAAGTTATGCCGTGCTACCACAGTACTGACTGCCAAGTATAGCAATACTATTCTATTTTTAATCATAAGTGACAACTGCACCAGAATGGCATGCAAATTGCCAAAACATGGTTATTTTTAAGTAAAAGTAATCTGTTATTTTAAATTAAAGAAGTGATAATTCTGAAGGACCACCATATTTGGTAAAATAATTTGAAACCCATATAATCTAAATCCAGGTTTACAGCCCAAAAGGCATTTTGCTGTCTTGTAAGCATTCTTTAAAGATACAAAAACCAGTCATCTTTCAAATATAGCTCTATCACTGCCAAACAACCTGTTTTTAAACAGAGATTTGAATACCTTCCAAGATTTTCTAAGTACACTGAAATAAAATTAAATTTAACAGATACATTTCTTATTTACATCATGTACTCGGTATCAAAGAAGCCAAAACTAACAAACAATGGAAATACTAACAATACTAATCTGGAAGCCTCGCTGCATGACTACAGTCTAATTTCAGGTCACTGCAAACGAAGGTCAATCGTGAGACTATAATTCTATTTAAGCAATATATTTCTACAGGCAGCAGATTGCATCTATTTGCATCTACCTAGCCCTCTGCTTGAGTTACAAGCTGTACCGTGCACAAGAACGTCCTCACTGGGTCAAACCA